TTCAAAAAAAGTATGTGATATGAAAATGGTGAGCCTCAGAACTTAATTTGGCATCCTAATACATTAAATATGTAATTCAATTCGATGAAAATCCTAGAAATTTCTTACTATTCAAAAAGTATGATGGCAGTTGTGGTTTGATGGATGAATAACACAGAGAGATGAACAACTAAAGCAGAAGTATCTTTTACATTCAAGCGTCAGCAGATGCTATATTTTCAGGCCTTTCTAAACTCGAATACTGCACGTACTCTTAAAACCGTTCTACACCTTCACTTTCCTTTCGAGCATAGCGATACTTACCGCTGATATTACCATGGTTGGCACATCTTTGGTAAAATTGTCCGTGAGACGATTATTGGCGAGGAGAATCATTTTAACGATGTCATCATTGTTGGGCCCGGGCTCCATAACTTCATCGTTATCTAGTTTACATTCAGTAAAGCGAGTTGTAATTAAGCATCGTAGGAGTACCAACGCCTGGAGAAGGTGTTTGGAGATTCCGGAATTACGAAAAGAAAACAAATCCAGTCTCCACTTCATCTCGTCTGTGCTGGGCCACAATTTCACGTGTTTCTGGATAGGCTCCCGAAATTCCAAGCATGTACTTATACATTTGAAGACGATGAACACTTGGTATTGTGTGACGCCAGGCGTAAGTTCGCAACCGAACAACATCAATGTCCGATGTACCATTCATCACCTGAAGGATGACATTATACTAGGAAAAGAAATTGTGGAATTTTTTCAACAAGACCTCGTTCAACAAATCAGCGTCAAATTCTCCGGTGCCACTGTCGCGAATGCATTTAGAAATAAGATTTTTCCGAAAATTATCCGCCATTATGTAGTAGTTCTGATTGTCTTGTACATTTTCTGACAGGCTCGCCGCGTCTCTAAAATTTCCAACATTTTCGATGATTTTGAATAATCTTATGTTAATAACTTATACCACAAAGCAATCAATAAAGACAGGCTCAGAGTTAAATATACGGTTCAATAGCCTGTTTCTTGGTGTAGAGGGACCTGCACACTTGATTAAGAAAAGATTCTGTGCTCACGACTTGCTCACAGATATCAGCACATATACAATTTGTGTGCGAATGAACAAGAAGTTAAAGTTGCAAAACAAATTAATTTCTACTTCAGAGCAGATTATGTTCTAATGGAAAATTCTTAAAAGATAATCCAACATTGTGGTTCCCTCTGTACAAATGCTGCAAGTCGTACCCACTATCATTACTAAAGTGCAGCACCTTGACAAAAGTTAGAGCAATTCAATCTATGGCAACACAAGCAAAAGCCCTGTTTATTAGCTAGTAAGCTTTTGGTTCTTTTCTCATTTAGTAAAGTAGGCTCGATAATAGCTTCAAGTACTTAGTTTGTTGAAGCAAATTGAAGAATTTACTATGCAAACTTCAACAAATGTTTTTGACGCTATGTGAACATTGCACGCTGTAACACTGCCCGAAAAAGATTTGATTAACAAGAAAATGATGTAAGGCCAGTGAGATCAAGGTATAGGCAGTGATTTAGACAATCAGTCCAAAGGCTAATTTCAAAATCAAATTTGGTTATCTGCAGGTGCGTTTCGAAAGTTACGACGTTTCTCTTGTCATGAGATCAGCACAGAGCCTGTCAGTTGTAAGCTGTAAAATACCTGAAATATAACAGCAGTAAAACTTCATCCCAACTAACAAAAAAGGAAAAAAGCTTTTGCATTATTGTTCGGAGACAGAAACTTTCGACCAACAACAGGCAATCGTTCGCGCTCTTTTCAGCCGAAAAAAAAAAAACTTTCGAAAATTCTTTCAGGGGAAAGTTTTGCAGATGTGATGTGTAGAATTACAGTAGCTTTTTTTAACTAGAATGATTATCACATAATTACTACGCTTGTCCTAGGAAATTTGTATATGGTAAGCATCTGATCCTCTCAATATTTTTGGGTTTTTCCATGGTAGTTCCAGGGCAAAAAATTAGAAGTTCAACAATCTTTAAGTTTATATGGCATGCAAAGGAATTTTTGTATTTATCATTAAAAGCATTTTGGTCTCAAAATGACTGTGAATCGACAAGATGCAGCTTTGATAAACTCCTTTATTTCCAACAACTCTCATTTTTCTACACTAAGTATGAGCCGATGAATTTGAATAGGTCAATGAACTGGAAAGCAATTAGTGGATTAAAAGCGCAGCCATGAACCTTAAATATAGCGCCTTCTCATCACTTGATGTAGCGTATCCTCAAAGATAGTGAAAGAAAAAGTAAAAATTGTCAGCGCCCAAGCTCTCTCGCCGGCTGAAATTCTGCCAGTATAATCTAATCCCGTTAACCCGAGAAAAGCTCGAAAACTCTCCTTACTCAGATTTCACAATAATTAATATATCTGCCTTTAGGCTTCGAAGTAGTACAGAAAATTAAAAACTTGAAGTCAAAATTTACTCTGACGCTGTCTTTGAGCTAATTGAAATGCAAGAAGCCATTACACTTGAAACTATGAGTCCTTCAAAGCTCATTTGGAATAGATAGAACGCGAATGGACCGAGCAGAGTTTCCCTTCATTCATATGGTGGCTCTCAAACGAAGTGGGATAGATATAGTATAGCCAATCACATCAGAAAACTGGACTAGACATCCAGCTTTTAAGCTCAACCTCATTATTTAATCTACTGAAGTGCGAAATCGTGAGCAGGCTTAATGGTGGGAAGTGAAAACTTCGTATTTAGGATCGAGTGTACACAAATTGGGAAGCAGTGGGGCGATTCCATGATAAGTGAATGACGATGGTTTCTGCTGTTAGGTATACAAAGCAAGGAGCCTTTCAAATATTGGGTTTTTGGCTAAGTGCCGTTCTTTCAAAGCCAAATGTCGTGCAAAACAGGATATTTTGGCAACATATTGTTTATCAATCAAAAGGGAGAATCTTCCTCTATAGAACAGTATGCCTGCTCCAAGAGATTTTGAGCTTGATTCGAAGTGGATAAAAATCTGTTTCTAAAGAGCTTAGAGAAACTCAA